CTTGTTGAGGATTTTTGCATGTATGTTTATCAGGGGCATTGGTGTTTGGTTTCCTAGATGTGTCCTAGATGTGTCTTTGTCTGATTTGGGTAGCAGGGTTATACTAGCTTCTTAGAATTAATTTCAGGGGAAATTTCAATTTTATGGAATAATTTGAAGGAGACTGGTGTGTTAGTTCTTCTTTAATATCTGATAGAACTCAGCTAAGAATCCATCTGGTCCTGGGCTTTTTGTTGTTGGTAGGATTTAAATTGCTGTTTCAATTTTATTTCTGGATATTGGTTTGTTTAGGTTTTCTGAATCTTTTTGGTTCAATTGGGATAGGTCATTTGTGTCCAGAAATTTGTCATTGTTTTTAAAAATAAACAGAATTAGAGATAAGAAATTAGATGTTACCACAGACACTTCTGAAATACAGAAGATCATGAGAAACCATTTTGAAAATTTATATTCCTATAAACTATTTCCTTTCTAGTTGTATACTAAGTCTTAATAACAGGTAGTTACTCATTCCACTGTATATGTGTTTTGTCAACACTGTTCTAGTTAGCTATTTCAGGGTCAATACCTCTCTATAATACATTTTGAATATGGTTGTATTTCCCTGAAAGATATTTTCTGGGATTTCAGTAGGAATTACATTAAACCTATTTTGGCTTATTGCATATACATATTGATTTTTTTCATCCTACAAACATGATATGACTCTTATGTCTTCTAATACATCTTGTATTAGCATTTTGCATTTTGCATTTTCAGCATACAGATCATGAACATGTTGTAGGAAGTTTGTAGTATGTATTTCCATTTGTGTGGTACTGTCTTTGGGTTTGTCATGTGTTGCCTTTATAATGCTGAAATAAGTTCCTTCTATCCCTAGTTTCTCCAGTGTTTTTTTTTTAACATGAATGGTTGCTGTATTTTATCAAAGGCCTTTCCTGCATCTATTGAGATGATCATATGATTCTTGTTCTTATTTCTGTTTAAGTGATTAATTACATTGTAGATTTGGGTCTTTTCTCTCTTTCTTTGGTTAGTTTGGCTAAGGATTTATCAATATTACTTGTTTTTTGGAAGAATCAACTCTTTGTTCTGTTGATCTTGTGTTGTTTAAATTCTCAATTTTATTAATTTTAACTCCGGTTTTTATTATTTCCTGATCTTCCATTGATTTTGGAATTTGTTTGTTCTTCTTTTCTAAGATTTTGAGGTGCAAGATGTTTGATTTTTGGAATCTTATTTTCTTTTAGTGTAGGCACTCAATGCAATCAGTTTTCCTCTTAGTATTTCTTTCACACAGTCCCAGGAATTTTGATATGTTGTCTCTGTCATCATTTGTTTCTAAGAATTTCTTGATTTCTTCCCTTATTTTTTCTTTGATTCATTCTTAATTTAAAATATTTTTTAATCCCCATGAATTTGTGTGATTTCTTTTATTTTTCTTGGTGTTCTAGTTTCTTTCCAATGTGATACATGGAATTATATAAGTTTTCTTTTCTTGTATTTGCTAAGACTTAACATTGCAACCTAGAATATGGTTTGTTTTATAGATGCTTCAATAAGCTGCTGAGAACAGAATAAATTCAGCTGTTTGGGGTGGAATATTTTATAGATATCTCTTTGGTTCATTTGATTTATAGTATTACTTAAGTTGAATTCATTTTTATTGATTTTTATGTCTTGGTGATCTGCCTGTTGGTGATGTTAGTTGTAATTTCCCACTATTATTGTATTGTGGTCTCTCTAGGATTTAATGTCAAGAAGTATTTTTTAATGTAATTAGGTGCATTGACATTTGTTGCATATACATTGTCATTATTTCTTCTCTTTGTATTCCCTTTACCAGAATAAAATGGCCCTCTTTGTCTTAGCTTTTATGACATCTTATTATGATTAATTTTTGCTTAGAATCAGCTTTTTCAGATAGGAGAATGGATATTCTGGCTTGTATTGAGATTCTGTTAGTGTGCCTTTTCCCCGCCCCCATCCTTATATATTCAGCCTGTGAGTGTCCCTACCTATGAGATCTTGCAAAGAACATATGATTGGATCTTTTCTTTTTAAATCAACTATGGGTTTTTAAAGAAATATATATTTTGGTTATTCTTTTTAGATACACATAACAGTAGAATGTATTTTGATATATTATACATACATAGAATATAATTTATTCTAATTAGGATCTCATTCTTGTAGTTGTACATGATATGGAGTTTCCCTGATCATGTATTTATATATGAACATAGGAAAATTATGTCTGATTCATTCTATTGTCTTTTGTATTCCCATCTCCTTCCCTTCCTTTCATTCCCCTTTATCTAATCCAATGAACTTTTGTTTTTCCTTCCTCCCCACCCTCTTATTGCATTAGTATTTACCTATCAGAGAGAACATTCAGCCTTTAGTTTTTTAGATTTGGCTTATTTCACTTAGCCAGGAGAGTCTCAAGGTCCATCCATTTACCATCAAATGCCATAATTTCATTCTTCTTTAAGGCTGAGTAATATTCCAATGCTGATCCATTATATTAATCTCTGTCTTTTGGTCAATAGGGGGATTGTGGTTGAACTCAGAGGCACTCGACCACTGAGCCATATCCCTAACCCTATTTTGTACGTTTTAAATTTAGAAACAAGGTCTCACTTAATTGCTCAGCACCTCACTTTTGCTGAATCTGGCTTTGAACTTGCAATCCTCCTGCCTCAGCCTCCTAAGCCACTAGGATTACAGGTGTGCATCACTGTACCTGCCTAATCTCTTTTAACTGGGAAATTGATAACATTCATATTCACTATTATTATGGATGGTGTTTGAGAATTACAGGCTAGCTGCTCTAATTTCACTGTTCAAGCATGAAAATGAGTGACATTAGCACTGTGTGGGCAAGGAACCTGGGAGATTTACTCCAGAAATCCCCAGCAACAAATTTTGTATTTAAAAAGTTCAATTTTATCAGCTTGTGAATGGGCCACTTTATTCTTTGCATAAGTTTATGCACTGCTGGTCTCAGTCTTTGTTTGCTTATCTGTTGTTCACTTGATTTGTAAATATTTTGATACCAGGTTTTGAGACAATTGCTGTGTAAAATAGGAAGAAACAATTGTAATGGTGCTCTGTGTGTAAAGAACTTGCCGAGTGCCTTCACCAAAGCTGTGGAGCCTGCAGCTGAATTATTCTCACTGGTGAATAACAACAATTTTGCCCTGCAAAGATGTTATGGTAGTTGTCTATGATTATAGTTAAGTGATTCTGCAAACATTTCATTGAATTCTAGAATGAATTATGACTCTACTTGGGTTTAATGAAATTTCTGATATTGCTGAAATTTGCATATGTACATGTTTTTCCTTTTCAAAGCAAGATCTGCTGGTGAGAGGAAATGATTATCTGGATTTATTATGGTTTATAAATTAATTAGTGATATATTTAATTCTGTACATAAATTTATAGCAAGTACATACTTGTCAGATCAAAATACAAAAACAGACTTTCAAGTCTTGATGATTCCTTGTAGACACTGGGTCTTTTGAGGCCATTACTCTTGCCTACTACTGCTTAATCACATTAGTAGCTCTG